TGAGTTTTAAGCCACTGGGTCCGGGACTCAAACCACGGTCGACTACATGGGAGTCCAGCGACACAGCCATTACGCTAACTGCTGGTTCCCAACTTTATTTATTTTAATTTGAGCAGAGAGGGTCAGAAAGCAAGCCGCCAGGTCTGGGACTCAAACCATGATCAGCCATGTAAGAGTCCAACGCCCTTAACCACCATGTCACCTGCCAGCCCCACAACCGTGCAGTTCTAATCCCAGACCCGACAGCTTGAGTGAAAGTCATGCTAGGCACATGTGTGTGCATGCCCCAAATCCCAAGAGGAAGGAGATGAAGGAACCGTGGCATGGCCCTGCCCCTTGGAGAGGGCCTACTCCCGCTCCCTCTCTCTCTCTCTGGGGAGGCTGCTTGCCCTTTAGCAAAAATAAAAAGGGTGGGGGGCGCAGCTGGTGGCGTTGGTTAAGGTGCTGGGCTCGGGTGCAGTCATCCACACTCAAGTCCTCGATCCGATGGCCTGAAAGTCATGCCAGGTGCCAAGTATGTGAATCCCCAAATCCCGAGAGGAAAATGGAGATGGGATTGCAGCATGGCCATCCCCCTTGGGGGGCGATTTCTCACTCTGTCTCTCTCTGTCTCTGGTGAGCACACATGCTCTATGAGAAAACAAACAAACAAACAAAAAACCACCGAAACAAGAGGCGGAGGCATGGGGCTGGCAGGGGAGTATGGTGGTTAAGGCTCTGGACCTCAACATGGCTGACAGCAGTTCAAGACCAGACCTAGTGGCTTGATTTCTCACTTTCTCTCTCTCTCTCTCTCTCTCTGTGTGTCTCTGAGGAGCACATGTACCCTCTAGCAAATTTTTTTAAATTTATTTAATTTAATTTGTTATTATTTTTTTAATTTGACCAGAGAAAGAGAGAAAGGGAAAGTGAGAAAGCAAGCCACCAGGTGTAGGACTCGAACCACAGTTGGCCACATGGGAATCCAGCACCTTTAATTACCACGCCACTTGGCGGCCCCGACTATAGCAAATTTAATAAAAAAATAAAAAGGTGGGGGAGGTGGGCAGCTTTCAGCCTCAGCAACTCCTGCGAGCAGGCCCCATTCTCCAGGGCCGCCAGCACACCCTGACTAAGAAAGGGGGACCAGCAGATGGTGTAATGGTTACATCACTGGATTCCCACGTAGTCAACCGTGGTTCAAGTCCTGGACCTGGCAGCTTAAACCTCACGCCAGGCGCATGTGCGTGCATGCCCAAGATCCCGAGAGGAGAATGGAGAAGGGACTGCAGTGTGGCCATCCCCCCCGGAGGTGATTTCTCGCTTTCTGTCTCTCTGTCTCTCTCTGTCTGTCTGGCAAGCGCATGCACCCTATGGCAAAATCCCCTAAAAAAACAAAAAACAAAAAAAAAGACAGGCGAGCCAGCGAGTGCAGGACGCCCGCGGCCCCAGGTGGCAGCTCACCCCCAGGCTGGACGCGCCGGGCAGCACGTTCTCCTCCGGCACCTCCACGCCGTCCATGATGATCATTCCCGTGGCCGAGGCCCGCAGGGAGAACTTGCCCTCGATCTTGGGGGCCGAGAGCCCCCGCATGCCCTTCTCCAGCAGGAAGCCCCGAATACAGCTATCGTCGCATCGAGCCCACACCACGAACAGGTCGGCCACGGGCGAGTTGGTGATCCTGGGGAGGGGGGCAGGCAGTGAGGGCTTGGGCTGCTGTGCCCCTGCCCAGCCTGCCCTGCCCGCCCGTCTGCAGGCCCCCGGCCCCTCACCAGGTCTTGGTCCCGTCCAGGGTGTAGGTCTTGCTGGACGGGTTGTAGCGGGCTCTGGTCTCCATGCTGCTGGGGTCGCTCCCGCAGTTGGGCTCTGTGAGCCCGAAGCAGCCCAGGATCTCCCCTTTAGCTGCCGGAACAAGACGGGGTAACCAGGCTGTCCGGCCCCACTCATTCTCTCCACGCCACAATCTCTTCTCCTCCTTTCTCCTCTCGGGATCTGGGGCACGCACGCACATGCGCCCACTGTGAGTTTAAGCCACTGAGTCCGAGACTCGAACCACGGTCGACTACATGGGAGTCCAGTGACATAGCCATTACGCCAACTGCTGGTCCCTTTCTCTTTCTTTAGTTAAATTAAAAATAATAATAATAGAAAAAAAAATAAAGTTACATAAAAATCATTTTAAAAAATCCTCTTTATAAGAGTGTGCTTATCACAAAAGAACTACTTGAAGATTAGGACACAACAGCAGTTCAGGGGCCAGCCCCACCCCGAGTTCCAGGCCATGGGGACTGTCTTCCTTCCCCTGCGCCCCACAGCGACAGCAGCTCACCCAGCCGGGGCAGGTACTTCTGCCGCTGTTCCTCGGTGCCATAGGCGTAGATGGGATGCATGACGAGGGAGGACTGGACGCTCATGGCTGACCTGTAGCCGCTGTCCACCCGCTCCAGTTCTCGGGCCAGGAGCCCATAGGCCACAGAGGATACCCCAGCACAGCCATACCCTGGTGGTACAGCAGGGGGCAGTAGGACAAGGGACAGAGCCCACCCAGCTGGGACCAGGGGAGGGCCTAAGAGACAACTAAAGAGGACACTCAAAGAGGCCAGTACTGGGGCAGGCAGGTGGCATGCTGGTTAAGGCTGCTGGACTCCCACATGGCTGACAGTGGTTCAAGTCCTGGACCTGGCGCCTTGCTTTCTCACTTTCCTTCTCTCTCTCTGAATCTCTCTGGTCAAAATACTTTTTAAAGAATTATTTATTATTAATTTTTATTTATTCATTTACTTATTTTAATTTGACCAGAGAGAGACACAAAGAGAGAGAAAATGAGAAATTAAGCCGCTAGGCCTAGCCCTGCACCCACCACGCCACCTGCTGGTCCCAATAAATTATTATTTAAAAATTTTTTTTTTTAAAGAAGTGGTTACAAAGCTGGCCCCAGCTGACGGCTTATTAACCTTTTCAGAGGGAGGGATAAACAGCTCCACTTTACAGACCGGAAACGGTGGCCCCGGGAATGGGAGGGTCTCTTGGGGAACCCTGGGATCGGCAGGGTGCCAGGAGAAACGGGTCCCTACCTTTGATGGTGGGGCCCAGCACACCCAGCTCCCCCATCTCCGTGATGATTTCCCGATGGAAAACTGCGAAAGGACAGACGCCCAGGTCAGGTGCAGCGCGAGCCCGGGGAGAGCCCAGCCCCAGGGGCAGACGGGGCCAGGCCGGAGCAGGCAGAGCTGGTGCAAGAGGCCAATGGAGGGAAGGGAGGAGGAACCCGGGGAGCGGAGCCCTGGGAGCCCTGGGCGCCCACCCCCTCCAGCACCTTCCTTGCGGTTGGCCAGCAGGATGCGGGGCATCAGCCGCTCCTGACAGTAGTTTCGGAAGGTGTCCCC